AAGCGTAGAAGGCAGTCGAAAGCCGTCGCTTCGGATGTCTCCGGACCCTGCCGTCCAAGCACCCTCTCCAGGAGGACGGGGAGGGATTTAATTAATAGGGTTCCTGTAAGGGGTTCCTTCGAAGGGTGCTTAAGGGATTTAGGGTTCTAGGGTTTACGGTTTAGGGTTTAGGATTTACGATTTTAGGATTCCTTCAAAGGCTTAGGGTTCAAGGATTCAAGGTTCATGGTTTCAGCTTGCTTGGTCTTGGGTCTAAGGATTTCGGCTTTAGTGACTTTAGTGTTTACGATATTTCGGTTCGGTGTTTACGATATTTTGGTTTATGGTGCAGGGTTTAGGGTTCAGCAGATCTGAGAAGGAAGCGCAACTCGACCCGCCCAATGGCGCCCACATCTGCACCCGAAGCCCTAGCCCGTGGACTTCGATCTGCAACAGGAGCTGAGGAAGATCAGACTGCGACCACGGCCGCGCAAAAATGCTTAGGGTGTCTGGTCTTCACAGGGGCTGGGTTTAGGGTTCAGGGTTCAGGTGTTTTTATTTTATGGGGTTGGATGTGCTTTATCGGGTTCATAGTTGTTGTTTAATAATTTGGTTTGGTAGGATCTTCCTCATTTGTACGCTGAGCCCTACACCTGAAAGTGGTTTGCTGGGATCTCTCTCTAGCCTAAAGTCTAAGGGTCCAAAGGACCCAAGTCTTAGGTATCTAGGTTAATATTTGAGAGAGTTTTTGTGATTATTAGGCACTTGGACCCTAAACCCTAAACCTTAAACCCTAAACCGTAAAAAACTACAATGTTTTTGAGGATCTGTCTATCGCTTGGGAGACCTTCCAGGACTGGTTACGGGTTTAGGGTTTAGGGGTTATAGAGGTTCTGGCCCTAAACCCTAAACCCTAAACCCTAAACCCTAAACCCAGTTGGTTCTGGTAGGGTTTGGGGTTTCGGGTTTGGCTGGCGGGTCTGAGGCTTTATTGCCTGGGGTTTTGAAGGTTCAAACCCTGAAACCTGAGAAAAAACATATTCAACTCTAGCTTCTATCTGGTATTACATGGGTGGTTGTCAAAATTATGGTCCCTTTTTGGGTCCGTAATGTAATACGGCACCTAATATTTAGGGTGCCCAAAAAGGGACCCTAATTTTGACAACCACCCACATATTTATTGTTAGTTTCTACTGTAGTTCTAATTATGGCTGTAATACCGTAAACCAGTCAATGAATTTACTATGAATACTACTTATGATTACAGCAACACCTCAACCAACATAGTAGTTATTCTGCAAACAAGTTTAAGTTATGGTTATGATTGTGATTTAGCCCTTTCTGTAATACAAACCTGTCCCCAAGCCCTAAACCTTCAACCCTAAACCCCGAACCCTAAACCCTGAACCCTAAACCCTGAACACTGAACCCTAACATTGGTTTCGATTTCGGGCCTAGGGTTTAGAGCTACCAGGGGCCCGTGATCTTCGCATGCAGGTAATAGAGTAGGTTGGGTTTAGGGTTTAGGTAGGATTTAGGGTTTGGGGCTTTAAGGTTTTTTAGGGTTTAGAGCGTAGAGCCAGTAACCTTTAACATTTGTTGGGTTTAGGGTATATTTTGGGATGATCATTCCCTATATGCCCGGAAGAGGCCCTAAACCCTAAAGCCAGAGGTTAACCTACACTTGCCGTGGGAGACCTGAAGAACAGTAGGAGCATGAAGCTTTTGGGTTTAGGGTTTAGGGTTTTGGGTCTTGTTTGCAGCGAAACCCTAAACCCTAAACCCTAAACCCTAAACCCTGGCTTGGGATTTGAAGAGTTTTCGGGCTGGAGGGCCTTGAGGGTGTTGGGTTTTGGCTGTGGTTTCTGGTTTAGGTTTTCGGAGTTTAGGGTTTAGGGTTTAGGGTTTAGGGTTTTCTAGACCCTGCGAGTAATTAGCCTCTATTGTGGCCCAAATTCCTTCTATTCAGGACCATAACGGCTTACACCATGAACGGGTACGTGGGGGATTCCGATTGGGCTTGCATGGGGGCTTTGATATGGCTGTGAGCAGAGCAGTGGGCACGCTCTGGCTCAGAACTTTCTCGCTGCAGAATGGTGGTAGTCACAGTATGTTTTACCGAATCATCGTGTTGAGGGTTTGGGCCAGGGGGATACAGCTGATGATTAGCAGTGCTGGTTCTAACAGTTGCACGACGTACTTTTAAATCTTTGATATCAAACAGTCGTCTGGTTGAGATGACCCTAAACCTTAGACCCCTGTAGCGACTGATTCCCAACACAGTAATAATGCTGTGTCCATCATTCCTCGAAACTGAACCATGATGCGATTGTGGATGTGAACCATTTCTGGGATTGTGCTTGTTCTTCAGTGGCGGCTGCACTCTTGCAATACGTACCCGTCGAGAGCACGAAAGTCAACAAGCCATGGATCAGTTCACGCACCCTGGACCTCTTGAACCAAAGGCGTGAAGCTCGAGTAAATGGAAACTGGAACGTTGAGAAGCAATTGCAGAAGGAGGTCAAGAAATCAGCCAAAAAGGATCGCTCCAAATGGCTCGAGGATTTGGCATCTTCCGGGGATTGGAAATCGATTAAAAAGCTCCGCAGGGGTCGGGTCGTTAAGCAGGGGCGATTGAAAAACACGGATGGGGAGTTTGTCTCATCTGAGCTACGGGCAGAGACGCTGGCCGAGCACCTGGAAAAAGTTCAATGGAGAATTCGACCAACGTCATTGATTCCTGAACAGCGG